CGGTGGAGGAGGTGAAATGTGTATAAAAGGAAACAAAAGTTATTATGGTTGACTTAATAAATGTCCTTATGTGGCAAAATGAAATTAGGTGGCTCTAGGTCATTCCCCAGATTACTTTTTTGAAACTGTCTGGTCCAAGAAATCCAAGTATAGAAACTATTGTTTTAGATGGCAGATTTCCACAGATGGGAGAGAAGAATGTGATAGTATTAACTTTTAAATGAGATATCCAAAATGTTGGCGGGGGCAGTTCAGATACCTTTGCCTCCAGGGTCACATGGGGCATGCTGAATGACCTCAGTCTGGCTTCCTGGGTGGGGGCCCTCCCCCCCAGGCGTGATTCCTCCCAAACTCACTATCACAGGCACCCCACAGTGCATGTTAAACACTGACTTCAGGCTCCTTCCCTGAAGAGGGTGTCAGGAAATTCGGGGAAGAGCAGGAACCTTTAAAATGGCCCTGGTAGTGGCTGTGAGTAGGAAACTGACTCTTGGCTCCCATGTTGGGCTGCAGACAGGCAGCACGCCTGTGAGCTACACCAGGCAGCTGATTGTTCGTGTTTCATTCCTCCCTCCCCCGACGTCAGCCTGTCTGTCATGTCTGATGGGGCACCAACAAACCCCTCTGGGGAGCGGGGTGCCTTTCCATCTTCTCCCTGCCATGCCGGTTGTCATGCATGTACAAGGGTATCATCATTGCGATGCCATGGTTTGCAGCTCAGCCCTGCCACTGCGTTGTCTGCATTTTCCTATTTTACATGGTAATTGCAAAGACAACCTGAGAAATAGTGAGGAGCAACATGCTTTCTGCATCATTCTGTTCTAAGTGCTTTGCATGTACTATTTCGTGCATGTTAAGTGCGTTAGGTCATGTGGAGCACAGGCCAGAGCCTGTCCGTGTAATGCTCAATCAGTAACAATAAGAAGTAGTAATCAATGCACACCAGCACTGCTCTCATGCCCGAGCTCCAGTGAGCCTCAGATGACGATCCGGTCAAGGGCATTCTTTGCACAGCTTTCTATCCATTCTTGCACCGCCTTCTGCGATGCCTAGAAGATGCTTTCCTCATTTGGAAAGGAGAGCATGTTCCTATAGGCAGTGCATCACCACGCTCTTCAGTTGCTCCTAAAAACAACATGGGTTTGAACAGAACAGGTCTGCTCATACCCAGATTTTTTCAATAAATATGCAAAGTATTGTAATATATTTTTTCTTCCCTATGACTTTTTAATAACACTTTTTCTAGCTTCCTTTATTGTAAGAATACAGTACACAATACATATAACATACAGAACATGTGTTACTCAATTGCTTATGTTATCGGTAAAGCCAACAGTGGGCTATGGGTAATAGAGTGAAGGTACATATAGTCGAGCTGTGAAATCAAGTAGGTTGAGGTATGAGGAAGTGATGCTATTTTTTCCTGTAAGTAGCCTGGGAACTTAAACGTTTGAACTTTCAAGCCCAGTATCAATGTCTAGATATACAGTGGAACCTCGTTTCTTGAACTTAATCCCTTCCAGAAGGCGGTTTGAGAAGCGATTTGCTAAAAAACAGAATAATTTTTTTCCCATTAGAAATAATGTAAATTGACTTAATCTGTTCCAGACCCTCAAATGATTCTGTTTCAACCTTTCTTATATACAGTACATGTCTAATTTATCAAAAAACACTTCTTAAATTTATTCAACCACCCCCTACTAACCTTAAAGAAATTTTTCACTTATTGCTCGCTACCTCCTAAATGCCATCACCAGTTAACTGCTTTTCCTTTATCCAAATCAACAACAGTTTTTCTATCTATTCAGTCGCCTGTGATTGCTGGGTTTTTTGTTTGTTTTGTTTTTGTGATTGCTGCTTTGTGAGCACTTTCACACCCTTAACAACATTAGCATTCTTGATGGCCTCTTTATGTTTTAAAATTGTGCTAATCACCAGCAACAAAAGCATTCTCTCTTTGTTGGTAGGAAAGACGTTTTTTTTGTCATGCTGAGCTATCAGCATGGAAGGGTTGTCAGGTTGAAAACTGAAATTTTGGTCAACAACCAAGACTTTTTTCCCTGTGAACAACTTGGTTGAGAAGCGAATTGTTCGAGATGGGAGACATTCAAGAAAGGAGGTTAGACTGTACATCAAATCTCTGGCTACCCCCTGAAGGGCTAAGGAGAGAATGTCCGCGTATCCAGACCCCTTGACATCCAGCATCCAGACCACCGGGTCATGGAGAAGATCATGACCTCAGACCAACCCAGAGGCCAAGGACACAGGGTTAGTCTCAAGAACGTGACTCTCCCGTAACAACTCTGACCGTGGCTCTCTCCTTTGGAACACTTCTGGGGTTTGCTAGCTGTGTTCAGTCTGCAGACTCTAAGACCCATGAATACATCTTTGTCATTTATTTCTAGCAAAACCTCCAGGCTCTTTTTGAGTCTCTTCAACAGCTATTGGTAATTAAGGATTTAGGGAGTCAAAAGCTATACCCAAATTTTGACTACATGGGGGTTGGCACCCCAACCCAC